AAACATGGACAGGCATTAATACTACATTTTCTGCAAAATGGAACTCGCAGCTGTAAGAAGCACCTATTTGTTCAACATCTAGCTCAGTAAGAAGCATTCAAGATCAAAGCAGCCACAAGCATTGCTGGGGCGGATGAGGAAAGCTGAGGAGGAAGGACCCGAGCACGTCAAGGACCCGAGCACGTCACCTCTCCTGTCCCATTTTGCATCCTGATTTCTATAGCAGCCCACCAGATTTGTTCTGGGCAATGCCTCCCAGCTGCACAGCTGGAGACCCTGAGCTGTACCCCTGAAGTGGAAATGCTGAGTCACGGCCTGAGGCAGTGATGGAGCACCTGGTGGGAAGGCAGGGCCAACCCAGGGCAGCTCAGGTACATGCAGTGCTGCTGAGCGATGAAGGGCCCAGGATGCAGCCCTTCCCAGCCTTCCTTTAAGGGTTGGCAGTGGAGGTGAGGATCTCTTTGGAGATCTCTGCCTCCCTGAGGCCTGCCGAAGGCAAGCAGCTTCTTTCCTTTGTTTCTGTGGCTGCTGCATTTGAGTGAAGTCCCCGCTTGCTGCAGCCCAGGACCTTGCTGCTCTGCTCTCTTTGCTGTGCTTTCCACCACATCCCAGCCCCAGCCCTACCTGCACCTCGCAGCACACACCGACCCCAGCTCCATGAAGCCCTACCTGGCCCGGATTCCTGCCCGTAGCTGAGCCCTGACGTGTGCTTGGTGCGCACGCGGAGCGTCTGGGCGCGCTGCTGCCGGGCCATGTCGCACGTCTGGTTGGGGTGCCATATCTGCTTGCAGTGGTAGCAGAACTCCGTCTGGCAGCCGTCCCGCTCACAGGTCAGCTTGGGGCAGCTGGCGCAGCCGTAGGCAATAACAGCATAGCTGGGGAGGAAGATGTGGAGAGTCAGAGAACAGCAGCACTGCCCAGCACGGCTCTGCGGCCGTCGGTGCTGCCCGGGTGCCGCGGGGCTCTCACTGCAGGGTGCTGCGCCACCCTGTGCTCTGACACGTTCCTGCTGTCCAGTCCTGTGCCTCGCACCGCAGGGCCTGAAATTAAGAGCTGCTAATTGGGTTACTTGGGGCAGCTTCCTTTATGCAGACAGTTTGCAATATTGAGTTCTCTCCTTGATAAGCACTGGCAGCTCTCACTGTCGATTTCCCCTGATCGATGCTCACCCTGCCTGCCCTCTCTGCTGATCCAGGCTCTGATGCTCCCTTCTGCAGCTCAGCAGCTGTAGGACAGCCAGGTGTGAGGGTGGGTGCATGGCCGGAGGGGTTAGGAGGGCTGAAGTTGTGCCAGGCACAACGGTCCTGCACAGGACTGCACAGACACTAATGATCCTGCTTCTGGATTAAGCCCAAACTGGTGTAAAACCAACAGAATGAGGGCAGGGAGCTGGAGCATCAGCCCCTGCTGACAGCACCGCAGTGTTCCTCAAGGAAGGGTACACAGAACACTGCACGGCGCTGACCTCCACCCCATGGGCTGAGGGCTTCCTGCACAGGGTGCCAACCATCCTCAGCATTTTGGTCAGTGGTCAGAGGAGAACAACTCCCATTTAGGGTTTTATATTTAGAGCTCGTACAGCTCAAGTTGTGTTGCCTCTTCTCGGAGGCTGCAGCGTGAGAACCGCCAAATGTGTCATACCACAATGATTCACATCCCGTGGGAGTTGGAGCAACTTCTTCATGCTGGGGTACGAAATAATTGCCAAAGAAACACTGCTGGGCAGAGTGCGGGGTTGGAGGCACGGCGGTGGGTTTGCATCAGCCCGTCCTGGGGGAGGTGGGACGAGGGCGGTGCGGGGCGACGGCCCTGGGCCCCCCTGTGTGACTTTGGGAGGATCCCGCTGAGCACCCTCACTGTGCCACCACCACACAGCACTGCCTGTGAGCAGCCCACAGTGCGTGGAGCAGCTTCACGCTCTGGGTTGACCCCTCGTAAGAGATTTAGGGTTTTTCTACATACTCCCATGAGAAATGAAATCCTCCACGTTTACATTTCGTTCCTGGAACTGAAACAACAAACAGCAAGAACGAGCCCACAAGCCTGAAACCTACACAGCTTTCTCTATGAGAGAAAGGAAGAACGGCTCCAAAGTCAAGGTCAGCGAGAAAGGAGCTCTCACGCAGGATGCGGCAGCCGACACATCCGTCCCCACCTGACCTCCCTCCGTTAAATGGACGCTTTTTGGCTCAGCCCAATGGAGGTGAAAGGGGAAACTGACACCGAGTGCCTTTCTGAGACCCCACAGCAGCCAGGGCTGCCCAGACAGCCACGGCCACGCTCTGCTCCTGGGAAGCCTGAGCCCCGCAGCACGCTCAGCCCCATTCACATTGCTCAGCCCACACAGCACAGCGGGCTTAAAGGTTCTGTTGTTCTCCACAGCCGGCTGATTGTAGCAGGGAGGGGTGAAAACGCTGCAAATACAGAAAATTATGTGTATTGTGAGTGACGGTGCATCCACTGCCCAGCGTTCCCATGGCAACACGCGCTGTGTTGTGTCGGCACTCCTCCTCCTCCTGCACAGCACAGCTCTTCCGTTTACGAAAGACTGCAGTAGGTGTGCAGCACAGGATGCTGCGCCGCGCACCAGGCTGGCAGCTTCCACCGTCCCACAGTGCAGCTCCCAGCAGCAGCGTCCTGCCCAGCAGCGCTGTGTGCCACGTTCCTGCTGGGCATGGTGCAGTGCCACCACTATGGAGGGAAAGCCCACAGTAAATAATTCATAGCCCACTCTACATAAGCACAAGGGAAGGCGCTGGGTGGGGAGAATGGATCGAGTGATTAACTCCTCCTGCTGCCGGAGGGCTGATTCCAGCAGCCTTTGTTTGAGTGCAGAGAGCCCACGTCCAAAGCGGTTTGGAGGAGGATGCCCAGCACTGCTCCCCTCACTAAGGGGCTTGCGGGTCGAGCTGCGTGACACCCATCTGCCCCAACCCACAGCCAGGCTGCAGCTGGGCCCCTTCACAGAGCTGACAGCACCAGGTTTGCTCCAGCACTGAGAGGAGGGGCAGCCCCTGGTGCTCAGCCTGCACGGCCTGCCCTGCCCCGACATCACCAAACACCCGGAGCCTGGGTTTCCTGCAGATGCCAGCACAGCTGCTGGCTGCTCTCTGAAGAAACAGCCCTTGTGTAGTGCTGCTCAGAGGACCTGCAACGGGGGACCTGGGGCAGGTTAACCAGTTTGCATGGGACAGCGAAGACAACAACGCTGTGATTACATCTTCACAGCCCTCCCACCACGCTTTCCATCCCCCGCTGCCAGGTCAGACTTTCCTTTCATGTTCACACTGCCTGGAGCTGCACCTCTCACAGCATCCTGGCTGAACTTTGCAGCACTTCTCTGAGTTCCCTGAACAAAGGCCTTTTCCGGGCAGCTTTGCCTTAAGCGTAAATAGAAACCCAGCAGAGTTCGTTCAAAGGAAAAGAGAAGAGAAAATGAAAGCAGTGCACTGATAAGTGCAGTCACCCAGGCTGGGCGGGCTGACTTCTGGACAGACAGATATTTTCTCACTTGGGCAACGGATAATGAGTCAACATCACTGCTCTGTGCCATGCAGGCATCCTTGCTGGGAAATAGGGACCGTTTACAGCTCCTTCCTCCCCAGGAAGGTGCAGCATGCCTTATAGCTGCTGCAATACACGCGGAGGGGAAATTCTGTGCTTCTGCTTTGTGCAGAAAAAGCAAGCTTTCTTTTAGATGAAGGAAATGATAGCTCAACTAAAGCCCCTTCCAAGTCCCACTATGAGGTCCCCCCTAGTCTGCATTTCCACAGTTCTCAAGGCCAGATCCTGGTGTGATATATTGGTACCCCAGGCCTATCAGCTCCCCTGCACGGGCCGCTGCCTGCCATGCAAAGAGAGCCTGCAATGAGGGCTTTCCACAGCAATCTGCATGAACAGAAATGTGCATTAGTGACAGCACAGCACGGGGCCAGAGCTGCCTGGGGAGCCGGCACCCAACCAGGGCAGCAGGTCCCATTGCTGCAGGCTGTGCCGGGCCTCGGGTTGGGAAGGGACGGGGGACCCCCCCCTGAGCTGTCGCAGCAGCAGCCCCTATAGGAACAGGGGACCCGTCCCGAGCCGTCCCAGAAGCGGTCCCCCACGGGGCCGCGTCCCCTTCCCGCACTCACCCGCAGTCGGGCGCCGGGCACCAGCGGCAGTCGGGGTCCGCAGCGAGGCAGCGGCGCAGCATGAACTCCTCGTATTTGGCCACGAGGTGCGGGGAGTCGCGGAGCAGCCGGCGGATGTCGGCGGGGTTGAGGCGCTCGCTGCACTCGGGGCAGCAGATGTTGACGCGGGACTCGGTGATCTCGATCCGCAGGTACTGCCGCAGGCAGGCCCCGCACGAGCGGTGCGGACACGACAGCAGGCGCGGCGCGTTCTCGGCCGGCTGCCGCACCAGGCACAGCGGGCACTCCAGCTCCTCTTCGCCGCTCCCCTCCGCCGCCGCCGCCGCCGCCGCCGCCGGAGCCTCCTCGGGGGGCGGCGGCGGAGGGGGCGGCGGAGGGGGTGGTGGGGCCGGGGGAGCGGCGGGAGGCGGCGGCGGGGCGGCGGGCGGCGGATCGGCTTTAGCACGGCGGCGGCCGCCAGCGGCGGAGGCGGCGGCGGCGGAGAAGACGCTCTGGAAGGAGAGGCGGCGGCGGCGGCCGGGCTTCGGGCACTTGGCGGCGGCCGAGTGGATGGAGGAGGAGCGCGGCGATTCGGAGTCCCGCTCGGAGCCCATGGCGACGGGGCGGCGGTTGCCAGGCGACGGTATCGACGAGCCGCGGGCGATTCGGGAGCGCCGGGCGCCGGACACCGCGTCCCGACGGGCGCTGCAACGACAGCGGCACCGGAGCCGTGAGCGCGCCGCGCCCCGCCCCGCCAGGCCCCGCCCCGCCCACCGAGCCGCGTCCCACCCCGTAGTTCGCCCCGCCCCCCACCCGCCCCGCCAATCACGAGGCGAAGCCGCCGCCGCCATTTTAGTTGCGGGCAGCGCCCTCAGGGGCGCGAGGAGCGCGGGCTGGAGGTGCGGGGCGGCGGTGTGTGCGCTGCTGCCGGCGGTTCTGGTACCGGCACAGAACGGCCGCTTTCCCTGCAGGCTGCCTGCTTCCCACCGGGCGCTCTGCAGTCGTTCTGTGACGAGGCGAGTGCGGCTTCAGCGCTCTCTGGGACGTCCGCCGCTTCTCTCAGCAAAGTCCGTTTGCGCACAGTTATCACGGTTTGCGCTCCCTCCCTGCCTTTCATTGCTCCTGGCGGCAGAACGAGAATGAGCTAGCCCGGCCCGCACTGCTGGAGGCACCTGGGTGCTGTGCTGTGCTGCAGGCTCAGAGCCTGAGCCTTTCTGTGCAGCAGAGATAACAGTGGCGCTTCTCTTCTTGATAGGATGAATGTAGGCACAGAGGGAGTAAATCACCTGCATGAGCGCACACGTGAAGCTTCCTTCCCTCCTACTACCCCGTCAGCTCTCCTCTTTCTGTGATGTTTTTGTTAGTTCTGTGCCTGCCATACCCCCTCCCTTGTAGTTCTGCCTGCTGCATCCAAGTCATTCCCCAGCGCCTGTCAGCTCTCCCTCACCTCTGCTACGCTCTGCTGTTCCAGCTGCAATGCATGTGCCTTTGGCCCAGCTGCAAGCTTTGGACCGTGCTTGGGATTGGCCTCAGTGTTAAACTCTGCTAAATGGGGATTGAGAACCCTGTTACTAGCAAGCTAATTCAGCAAGAGAGCAAAGCAGTTCTCCAAAAGAGGCCGGTGACATCATAGGGGGGCCTGGAAGCGCTTTGCCCCGAAGCAATGTGAGTTACTGAGCTCCATCCCTGCTGTGCTGCCAACTCCTGTTACCACCTTGTGTGGAGGAATGGCGATGCTGGGATGCTTCTGATGCAGAGCCCTGATGTGTGAAAGGATCCTCTCCCCTTGTGCTGGTGGGAAAGGAAGGCTGGAAAAGGAGAGAAGAGGTGTTACATCAGTGTAAATCCAGATGATGTTGAAATCAGCTGTTCCTAGCTGAGATGGGTTGGGTATGAGACGCTTCCAAATGGCTGTCACTACCCATCTGCAGCTGAGATTGTCTTGGTCTGATGATTTCACTTGAAAAATCACACTGCTGACCAAAATAGAGAAACCAGGGCAGGGCCTGTGTGTGGGATGGGGCTCCCAGACAGCACTGACAGCTCAGCCCCGCGTCCACTGCAGCACAAGAGCAGACTGTAACTAATTGTGGGAAGGTTTCATCTCTAAAGCTCGTGTGAGGCGGGCCTGAATTACCAGTAACGCAGCCACAGAGAGCAAAACCATCTGGAGTCCCTGGGAAAGGCATCAGCTCGTGATGTGCTGACAGGGCAGAAATTATTCCTCACTCCCTCATATGAAGTATTGTGATACAAGTGGGGCTGGGAGGTGGAGGGGGAGATCGGAGGGGCTCGTGCTGACTTTAGCATCGTCCTGTGCCTCCCCTGCTCCTGTGCTGTGCAGATCTTTTGCCAGTCCTCGCACCGCTGAGAGGATTCAGTGCTTTTAGCATTCAGGTGGATGTGGGCTTCTAACTGCCACGGTCTGGATGTACCAGCTGCCTGAAAACAAGTTCTGTGTGGCTGAGATGCTCCAGCGTGGAGTTTCCACAGCCCTGGCCAGGAGCACGTTCCTCAGGAGGGAGCAGTTTGAAGCCGGTGGTTTGTTTTGATTCAAATTGAGATTTAAATCAAAACACGGCGTGCGGGGCTGGGACAGAGAGCACACGGAAGAAGGCTGCTGGGAGAGGAAATGATGGGAACGGCATCGGGCTGGGAGGGAGGTGAGGTTAGCTGTGACCTGGGGCTGTGGGGAAGCTGGCACAAGCCTGACTGTTTAACTCAGGGACATTTTCAAACATGAACAAACAAAACAAAACAAAACAAAGAGAATTCAAACGCTTCAGAGAACGAAACTCAGCCCCGATAGGCAAATCTGCTCCTGCTTATGCTGGCAGAAAGCTGGAATGCTGCTGCTTCAGTCAGAGCAGAGGATCCTCAGCAGAGCAGAGGATTTGTCACGGGCAGCTTTCACAGCTGCCTGAAATGCTGGATCTCCCAGGGAGGCTCCCAGCAGCAGCACAGGGAACGCTGCGTCTCAGCACCGGTTGCTGCCGATGGGCGCTGCTCTGCCCGGCTGGGGGGACGGGAGCTGATGTGCATGGAGCCCACCTCAGGGGCACAGGGCTGCCTTCCAGGAACTGCCTCGGCTGCCCGCACCCTGAAAGTCCCTATGGAGGAAAGTGGCTGCTCTGACACAGGCTTCGGGGAGGAAGAACCCTGGTGATGTAATGAAAACTCCCCTCTGTAATTCAGAGAGTGAAAGCAGAGGCTGGCTGCCGAGAAGGGCTTGTGAAACTGCTCTCACACTGGGAGTATTTGCATGGAGGGCAGGGCTGTGCTGTGGCTGGGAATGTTGCCGCAGGGGGGCCCTGGCAGACGAGCACCAGCTTTGGTTTGCTGCTGAGGAAACAGAAGCTCCCACTTCCACCGTGTCCCCTTTGCCTGCCCCCTCCCCCCTTTCCTGGTTACTCAGATATCTGGGGAATATCCTCCTCCTGTCACTGGTCTGCAGGACAGACAGAGTTCAATCTGCCCGAAATCTCCTGGTCGTTTTGGCACTGATTGTGAGTCCCTCCCTCAAACGTCCCTGGAAGTACACAGGTTCTCAGGGTTTCTCTGTCTTCCCCCAAACAAACATGCAGTTATTCATGGGTCACCGGCTGTGCTTCAGAGCAGATGGAGTGCAGAGGAAACCCAGCTCATGTTGCTGCCCTCCAAAATGGCCACATCTGGGGTGAAATGGGACAGGAGGGGAGTGGCTTTACACCAGGAGCTCAAACTGAGGAGTTCTTCCTTGTTGCTGAGCAGGAACACTCTGGAATGACTCAGCTCTGGTTTCTGGGCAGGCTGAGACCTTTGGCCCTGCTTTGGTGGCACAACCAGGGCTCCTGAAGGGTTCTAGGTGCAATGAGGTGCACCATGCAAACAACCCTGAGAGGCTCAGCGTCAAGAAAGAGGTGTGAGGGAGTCGGACCATGCAGCACAAGCGGAGTTTTAAGCTCAGTGTTGACCCCATCTTGGCTGCTTGCCCCATTGCTCAGGAGCTTGTGGGCCTCCGGCGTTCCTCCAAGCGTCCCAGCAGAGCAGGATTGGCAGCTGTGGGCTGCGAGAGGTTCTCACCCTGAGAGCTCTGAGATGAGCAGCGAGGGATCCTTTGTATACATGAGGTAGCAGCTGTGTATCCAAGAGCTGAAGTTCACTGGGGTCATTTTCTGTGCAGCCCTGGGGAGCCGCTGGTTTGTAATGACAGTGCACTCTGATCATTTCTCAGATGGAGATGCCATTAGCAGACGTTTATTTCTCTCCAGGGAAGACAACAGTGACTGGGGAGGGCTGTCCCCACTGTGCCAACTCTCTGGACTGATCTCGTTAGTTCGTGTCCTGTTTGCCTCCTGCGGTCCCATGAGACGTGTTCAGGGAACAAAGATGATTCTGCTTGATTCCCTTTTTCTCTGCAGGACTGACAGGGACTGGCATTCTTTTAAATGAAGAGCAAAAGACAGGAGAAGGGAGCCTTGGGCTCAGGAATTCAAGGCTCTTTCCATCGGATTCTGGTTTGCTCTGTGGTTGCAGCCCCTCTCCCCTCCATCTCCTCATCCCACTCTGCTCTCCCGTAACACCCACGCATACTGCAGACAATCTTCCACTCCCTGCTGTGACTTTCCATGGAAGATGCTGTCATGTGAAATCCCGGGAGGGAGTTGCCACATGGAGCACTGTGAAAGCATCACACATCTCCTGCAGAGCAGGCTTGCAGATGGAGGAATGCTGTGCTCCCCCTCCTCGAAATCCTGAACACTTATGAGGAGGGCTGGGGGTTGCGGGGAATCATCTTGTAAGCTTGGGAGCCACCTACGCACATGGCAAGGCTTGTCAGCAGCTGACAAAAGAGGTGGGAGGTGGGGAGATCTGAGGGGGAACAACTTGGGGGTTCAGTGCCCAAGTGGCTCAGCATCCTGTCTCCCCAGGTCTCAGCCAGATGGGCCATGGGCCTGGCCCTGCTGCGGATACACGCGTGCCAGAAGGAGACCCCGAGCAAGGACGTAGAGATAAATGCTGTCTGCTTCAGTGATGACGTAAAGGTAGGGAGCATTAAGCAAGTGCTTATAATAGTAATCTGATACGCTTTTCACCTCCACAGAAGCATTTCCTTTTGTTATAAAAGCACAGGCTGTTCTGGTTTGCTTATGTATCGGCTGTCCTGCACACTCTCTGTACAGCTTTGGTGATAAAAGTGAGATCGCTGCTCTCAATTCACTCTTCCTGGTGACCAGCCGTCCCTAATGACACAGGATTTGTATCTGAGAAGGTTTAGCCAGCAGGGTGCTACCATCAGGAGTGCTGGTTTGATCCCTACGATACAAAGAGGCAGCCAGACTCCCTCCTCACCCAAGCTGTTAAGCAGACAATTACGTGTTTGGTGTTGGCATAAACACAGGCAAATTAGTCACTGGAGAAAACCCCCAGTGCCTGTGACAGCTAGCTGTGGTTAAGAGACAGTGGGGGTGACAAACACCTCTGGCAGCCACCTGTCTGTGACACTCGGGGAGAGCAAGAGACACAGCGAGGCTGGAGCCCAGCGCTGCCTCAGGAGCCTCTCCTTGTGATGACAGCGATGTTTTGGAGAGCTCAGCACCTTGCAGGGTTTGAACAAACCTGGCCACAGCAGGGATAGCAAAGATGGAGGTGAAACCTTCAGGAGGACCATTTGTGGGGAAGTGGGGAAGGGTTCGTTTTGCCCTCAGACAGCAGATGCAGACAAGTGACATGCTGGCACAGAGCTTGTCTTCTGCAATGAGTGCAGAGTGAGGCACTGGCCTGATTTCCAGGAAAGGAGAACAGTGTGTCACATAGAAAGCACTGAAAAGACCTGAAGCTTCTGCCTCAGCTTTCTGTCTCACTCCTGCAGACACATGGCTGCTCGGGAGTTCAAAAGGCTGAACTGGAGACTGCCCCCTAGGTGGCACAGGGCAGGAAGCTGTGGCTTCTCTCCTGCAGAGCGGTTGTTGGTGCACAGAGGTGGTGTCCCTGTCTCTGCTGGGGATGCCTGCATGGCTCAGCATCTTTTTACAGAGCTGACCTTTGCAATAGTAGTGTGGGAGCTGGATAGAAGAGCTTGGTGTGAGGCAGTAGCTTTGGTGCCCCAGAAGAGATGCTATGCTGGCCGTCCTTCGGCAGCATCTTAAAACCTCACAGCATCTCTGACATCCTTTCCAGCTTGTGCACCTTACATACAGGTAGGGTTGGGCACACTGTGTTTCCTCCACCCAACCCACCCACTTCCTATCTTCTGCAGGCATGACAACTAGTGAGTTAATCCTGCAGGCCATAAACTAAGCTGTATTAGCAGACACCATCTGTCCTTTTTCATTTGCTGATGCACGACCTATTTTGCTGTGTAGTGGAGCAGGCGCTGCAGTTTCAGGGCTTGCATATTACAGCATCCATGCTGCCTGGGTATAATCCAGAGCTTTCAGTGACCTGCTAATGGGAGAAGGCCCAGCGAATTGAGTGCCAGGGACCTGCTGTCACAGGCAGGTGGCGGCTGGGGTTTGTCTCTGGGGCTGCTTGGCTTCAAAGGAGTTTTAGCCCTGATGCCACAAAGCACCAGATGACATCTGGGAAGAGAAAAGTTTGTGGGTGACTTCCGATGACAAGAACACAACTCCCGTCAGCAAAAGCAGTCCTTATGTGGAGCCCCTTCAGCAACGCTGTGTCTCACTGCTGTCTCAGAGGCAACGCTCCCAAAGCATTCACCACCTCCAGAAGTGCCACCATAGAGCTGATTTTCATACTGAAGTCAGATGCGGGGGAACAGGCCCCTTGCTGTACTCCATACACCAGGCCGTGCCACGCTGGGCTTGGGACGGTTTGCTTTATGGAAGCTGAGCAGTGGCAATCACAACAGGATGAGGAAAGACAGGAAGAGAATTCTTCCCTGGTTTCTCTGTGGAGATCTTATCACATCTTGGAGCAGTCTGATGACCCTTGTCTGGGTGCAGAAGTACAGATGCTATTAAAGGTTACAAAACCACCAGGATATTTCCAAGCCAGTTATTGTACTTAACTCAAGAATTCTCAAAGCAGTTCCAAAGGTTAGCATCTGACTTAATGAAGCCGCATTTCCTTCTGAATTTACCAACTTTTCATTTAAGTCAACACCAGTGGCAGAAATTTTCCCTGAGATGTGAAATGAAGAGTGAGGAAATTTTGTCTCTGTGCCGCCGGGAGTCAAGAAGGGAACTGAGCACAGTGGGGTTTGGTGCTGACATGTATTTGCTGCCCAGCTGCTTGCTGTCGCATACCGGGGTCCCAGAAGCAGGCTGGGAGTTTTCAGCTTCCTGCTTCACCCAGCAGAAGTGGAAGACAGAGGGAAGGAGTGACTCAGCCTCACCTTGGCACTAGCAGACAATTGCTTTCTGAATCAGCTCAGTTGCACCATTTGGGATTTCCCAGCAACGCTCAGCTTGCTGGGCAGGGCGGCCCTTTGTGAATCTGGCCGAGCTTTGGATCCCCACAGCTCCCAGCAGCAGTGACTCCTGCTGTCTCCTTCCTGCCTTCCCTGAGCTCTGTACCGCAGGCAATTGCGTGGGCTCTGGGTCTGATGTGACAAGAAATAACGACTGCCTTGTGAGATGCCATGACGGCGTCCCTCTGCTCTTCTGCTAGGTGTGATCTTCCTCGTGTGCTGTTGGGATGGTAGCTGGTGTCAGGAACACTTTCCTTGCAGTCTGACAGCTTGCAGAGTGAATCCCTCCAGCAAGACAGATCCCAGGGCTTCTTATTTCTTTCCCAGTATTTTGGGAGGATAATTGGCTCAAGAATTTTCTAGATCTGGGGCAAAAAAATAAACATCCCTCCTCTTCACAGGCCAGAGCCATGGGCCTCTCATGTGCTGTGTGAGGAAAGGGAGCTAGGAAGGGCAGTGCTTCACCAGGACTAGAATGTACCCAGACCTGTGACAGCAGGAGGGAAGAGGAAGAAGCAGCCCGTGCGGTCAGCCCTGGAAGGGGCAGTTCCTGCTGAGAACTGGCTGGGGAATGTTCCCATTTTCATAACCAGCAACAGCTGTGAAAAGGGGAAAGGAGTGATTCTGGTCCCTCCAGCAGCCAGGATGGGGAGAGCAGCATGGTGCTGCCAGACTTCTGGCCCAGCAGCAAGGAAAATGTGTGTCATTTTCCAGAGGGCTGAGCCAACACTGACCAGGTGGGAAATGTATGAGCTCCTGGCTGAAAACTGGCTCAAAGTTCTCTTGTCTCAGATGTGATCGTCTCTCAGCCTGATACTTGGCTGCCAAGCCCCTGCCCTTGGCCTGGCTCAGACTGGAACTGTTCTTCCAACAGTCCTGTGCACCATCCTCTGCTGTGGCCCTGGAGCAGAACAAGACGAGCAGAGGACAGGGAAGCTGCAGCAGTGTAGAGTAAATGCCGAGTCACGGCCTGAGGCAGTGATGGAGCACCTGGTGGGAAGGCAGGGCCAACCCAGGGCAACTGTTGGCGACAACAGCCTTATTTTCACAAACCAGAGGCATTCTGGCTTTACACAGCCTCCCTTTGCATTTCCCTGCCCCCCGCAGTCAGGCATATTTGGGGAAAAGCCTCTCAGGGCAGTGCTGACTCCTGGGCTTCCTGCTGGGACGCGCAGCTCGGCCGCAGCAGCGTGCAGGGTTCACATAGCTCTGCTTTCTGCCCCAGCTGTTCTGACCTGCTTCCCTTGGCTTCACAACCAGCACCCAGGGGTGCTGCCCAGACCCAACATGCAGGATCAGTGCTCTCAGCATAGGATGAGCACCAAAACTGCAGCTGGAGAACGTGGCAGTGGACGGGGAGCAGAACCCTGCCTCTGGGCTGTGGACCAGGAACGCCTCTTTCCCGCCTGAGCAGCCAAGGCTTTGAGCCCTGCCAAAGCCCAGTGTTTGCTCCTGCATTTGGCGTGCGAGAGATGGCGACGAAGGCATAAGTGAGGCAGAAAGAGGATTCCTGTGAAGAGGGGAAGCGGGTTTCTCTTGAGTCTCTTTGTGATCTTGTTTGGTTTGGAAATACTGGAAGCGAGAAGAGATGCTGGCAGTACGCAGTGAGGGTGTTTCTGTTGTCCCAGGGGCAGAACTAACGGAGATCTCCTTCAGTCAGAGGAAACTGGAGCCCAGAACTGCTGTCCAGCCATTCACCACCTGGGACGGAGCCAGTGGAAATCCAGCTCCAGGGAGCTGATGCCTTTGAGTGTTCGCGAGGAAGTGCTGCTCACAGTCGTGGAGCCTTGCTATGGGCACCTTGTCTTGCAGCCCTGGTTTTGCCCTGCACTGGGCCTGCTGTATGATAGGAAGCTTTTCTTCTCTTGGTAGCAGCTCAGCCAAGTTCTGGAGCCTGTGGGCTGGGATTTATGTCAGCAGTGCGCTTGGCCACATGAATCCCATTGACTCCGTCCTCATCACCTTCTTTGAAGAAGCAAGCAGAGAGAATGAGCTCTTGGAGCAGAACCAAGAGGGGCTGAGACTGACAGGAGTCAGATGACTTCGGCAGCTCCTCTGTGTGCTTCCAGCCTTTCCCAGATAGTTTCAAAAAACAAAAAAAAAAAAGATGCTGGCAGTAGCTAAAAAAGGAGCGAAGTCCTATGTAAGTAAGTTGGGTAAGAGTGCGCCTAAATTTTCCCCCAGAGATGACAGCGAAGGCCAGGTTTAGTTAGAAATGCTGGTTTAGCTAAAGGGATAATATTTTCATTAAGGAACAGGGAACTATTGATTACTCAAGTAACCTCAGCTATTAAACAAATGGGAGCCTCAGCAGAGGGAAATTCCAGCCTAGGTGTGGGGAGATGACAGAGGGGACCCCAGGGCAGCACTGGGAACGCAGTGACCTGCACTCCTGGGTGCACAACTGCCCTGCTGCACTCACAGGCACCGGGGAAGGGTGAAGGCAAACTGGGCAGGCGCCTGTGTGTGCCTCTGCCAAAGGAACTGGGAAACATTCTCTGCAGCGGAGTCGTGGCCAAGAGAGACTGGAACAGGAAGGATTAGAATGTCCAGCAGGACCTGGCTCAGCTCCCAGGGCCCTTGTTGGACCCTGGCACAAGGGCAGCTCCCCATGGTGCCCCAGCCCTCTGCAGAGCCTTGCAGGTCCACAGCCCTATTTCTCAGAGGGCGTTTGTTGCGGGCTGGGTGCCAACAGCCAGCAGAGCACAAGCTCCCAGCGCATCACCTATTGCATTCCGGGGAGGTGGAAATATCTGCCCTTCTACCTCCCTCGCAAAGACCACAAGAAGTGCCACAAACAGCTCTCGTGCCGAGCAGTGACAGCCCACGGCAGGGACAAACACCCACGAAATACAGCACAGCTGTGGAAGAGAGATCGCGTGAAGGCACTCAGGGCTCGCTGGGGACACTCAGCTGCTTCAGCTGATGCGCAGATGCCGGGCTGTGTAATGTTCACATGATCATCCCCTCTGCAGCGTAGGCAAGTTATGGGGTGAACAAAAGGAACAGTGGGGAAGGTCAAGGACTTGGAGGGGCGACTGGGGCTTTCTGCTTGTAGGAGGTTCTGGCGCTGCTGCCCTGCTACATTTTGAATATCCTTGAAAAAATCAAGATGAAACACAACCTAGAAGCAGCCCGAGCTGTGTGTGCAGTTCCGCATGGCCAGCAGCTGCCTCAGGGACTGGAACTGCAGAAAAGCAGAGTTAACCCTTCCCGAGCTGCAGCCAGCACAGGCAGAGTCCCATTTGGGAGCTCTTGGGGCCTCCCTCCCACCCCAGCTGCTCCGTGCAGCTCTGCAAGCTGGCAGGAGCTGCTGCCAGAGCCTCTCCCCCCTCCATGCCCACGTCAGAGGCACGCAGCACAGCTGACTGCGCAGCCACCTGGGTGACAGCGCTGCCACCTCTCCTCAGCCTCCCCTCTGCTAAAAGCCGCTGTGGGGGGGCCTCCAGCACAGCACTGCTGCAGAAGTCCCACGCAGCAGCACAAGCTGTTGCTTTTTGCAGAGTTACCACAGTATGGCCAACTTGGGCCGCTCCCAAGTGCTCCGTATTGAGCCAGCATCTGTGTGCGGGAAGATCATGCGTCTTGCAGCAATAGCCTTCCCTAATTAAGGTATATTTCTGCTCCTTGCTACAAGTCTGCTTTCTTAGGTATGCTTGGGCGTTCCTGACTGCTCCATGGCCCCACTGCTCTCCCCAGCTCCTTAAGTGACGTTTTGTGATTCCACAAACGTAGGAAACGTGAAACTTTTTTCAACAGAATGGTTGTGACAGAGGCATTGGTTCCTCGTGTTCTTTGATGTTAAAAAAAAAAAAAAAAAAAGTTTCTTCAGCTCCACCTGAAGTTCTGTTCTGTGCCTCTTCTCTCTCCTCCCCAGTAATGGTTTGTGATACCTGCAGGGCTTGCCAGCAATGGGCTTTAACCCTCGAAGTTTTTTGCTCAGTCGGATACACACTGTGGGTCTCAATGGGCAGAAGAGTGCCCAGCCCGTCCTCTTTGTTGCTGTGAAGTCCATTCACCCCTCTGCCACGGAATCGGAGCTGTTACACCACCAGCTGTTCCAGCACTAATGAACAAGCCCAGCTTTTGGAGTAGAAGGAGATGAAATTCCTCCTGGGCCAGCTGAAAATGGGTTCCACTAGGATGCTGCAGGACACAGAGGTGACCATCCCTCCTTGTTCTCTCTGCTAACAAATTGGATCCCCTTTTTGCAACCGTTACACTAAAGGACAACATGACATGCGAAACGTTTCAAGGGCTTTGTTTTCTGCCTCCAAGGTCTGCAGATTCACAGGATCCACATCTGGAGAACTCCCAGCAATAAATTTGTACCAGGCTGCCTTCCCAGGATGACTGCTTCCTGCACAGGCTGGGTAAGTCTTGTGACTGCTTGAGACGCGTAGCTTAGGATACCCATCCCAAATGCACACTGCTGGGCTCGGCTCCAATGCACAAGCTCTGCTTACAGCTTCCTATCAGCTCGATGTAGCCCAGGGAGGCTGGGTCTCCAAACTTGTGCTGAAGGTTTAAAGGTTTGTACTCTTATCCAAAGAGGGAACTCTGGTCCCCTTCTCCAGAGGGACTGGGGCTGCTGCACACTCCTGGAGGCTCTTCCCACGCACTGACATCCTGGGGGGACGCGTTTGCAGCTTTGCATCGGGCATCCAGGCTCTGACCGGGTCCCAAGAGCCCAGCCCTGCTGTGCCAGGTGCTCAGAGCATTGTGCAAAGCCGCCGCTGCCAGGAACACCCCCACATCAGCCCGAAGGCTGCCGAGGCAGGTCCTGAGCCTGCAGTCGCTCGTAGAACCGCCCTGCCCAGTTCCCCCGGCTTCTTACCTTGCCCGGAGCCCACTCGGTGCAGCTCTCTCCCCTCCGCAGCCTCCCTCGCTCTCCCTTCCCCACGCCGCCTCGCCTCGTGATGTCAGCTCAGCCCTGCCTCCGCACGCCGCCCAGCGCTCCCTGCCAGCCCCGGTTTTGCTGCTTCCCTTCCAACGGTTTCCACAGCAACACGAGGGGAATCCCATCCTCTGCTCCTCCACCTCTCGGGGCCTCGCTTGGTATCGCCCACTGCAGCTCTTGCTGAGGAGCCTGAAGACCGTAGGAAGGATAAAGGAGACGGCGGGGAACGGCAGCAGGCAGAGGCCGGCAGCAGCAGCGTGACCTGGGGGAATCACCGCACCCGGGGGAAGGGAGAGCAGGGCGGAGTTGCATTCAGGGCGGCGGGCTGAGATGAAGCACGGTCACCTCCACAGCCTCCGTGTGGCCTGCAGGGCACCAGCGCTGTGCTCTTCCCACCTTGCCTTGCATTGCCAGTTCTCCGTTCCTCAGTCCCACGTGCTTTTTACATTGGGGCTCTACAAATGCGGTGCCACGCTCACCCTCACGCAAGCTCTACCCAAGGCAGGGATTTGTGCTTCTTGTGCACAGCACGCACGCTTTGCGGGGATTTCCTTTGCTCCAGGTGAAGGTCGGGGTGCAGATATCGATCAGAAACTTAAGGTCGACTCCAGAACAGACTGTCAGGAGCCATCAGACTCATTACTGCTAACCACAGATCCGCAGTGAAAGGGTTTTCTGCAGTATCATTCACAGATGGTTTCAGCAGGAAGGGAGAAGGCCAGATCCTACATTTTAAGGTCTGCGGCACGTCTTCAATGGAAAGAAATGGCCCAAGGCTTTTTGATCCCTTCCCCCCATCCGAGATGCTGTTTCTTTTCAGCAGAAGTATTGCTGCATTAGAGAACAGGTCACTTCCTCTATCAGCGAGAATTCAGTGTCCTATTTGATGCTAGTTCTTGAGCTATAAATAGGAATTTTCCCCTTTTATAGTTGCTGAATAATTTTCTAAATGAAATATGAACACAGTTTTCAAAGGAGTGCCTGATAAGCAGCTTGCTGGAGAGAAATCATTGAACAGAAGGAATTTACAGCACCTGCAGAGCATCACATGCTATGGAAAACATTCAAGGTCACAGTGATGGAGGCGGGTCACAGAACAGATCCAACTGCAGGGGGCAGAGCCTCGCGTGAGCTGCGCGACCTCCTCACAACAATTCATTTTGTGCTCTGCATTTGGGCAAGCTGGTGATCAGCTGGAAGAAGCCCAGCTCAGAGAGCCAAGAGCTGCCATCCCACACACAGGAGGAGCAGGCAGAACAGGTTCTGAGAACAACAGTAGGCAAGCAGCAAAAGGACAGACTCCCAAACGATGAGGAAGAGCATAATTTAACATCCATCATCAAAAGAAAGAAGGGAAGAACACCACAGATGCAGAAGAAACAAGCTTGCCTTCAAAAGATGGAAAGTGCTGATCAGAAGTACAGAAAGATAATAAAACCATCAGAGCACAGAGAGACTGCATGGCACCCAATGGTGCCGAAGGGACCAGGCCTTTCTGGAGGAAGCAGGCACAGGCAGCCTGACCCCGTGATGGCTGCGATGTCACACGGCCTGAATCAAAGCCTCAGCTGCAAGCAGCTGCCGCCTGGGACCAAAGGCACTGGAGAAAAAACGACTTCTCATCAGCACCACCTTCCTCTGGGATTCCTGAGAACCCATGGCAGGGCCTGGGATGCTATGGAGGCAGGATAATGGGAGAAATGCCTGCAGACCCTTCATCCCAGCAGATTTTGTCCTGTACAGTTTGACAGACGCTGGTCAGGAGGGAGGTGAGCAGCAAGGTATGAAAGCACAAGAGGAAACAGAAGGCAGCATCTGGCTCACAGTTACTGCAAGAGAGGAAATCACGGCAACTCCTCCCCCCACCAGCAATTAGAAAGGAAGAGGGAGGAAAGGCTGGGTATGACATCAGTTGTAAAAATACCTGAGAGGAGCTCTGACCACAGATGGTCAGCATACACAGGGCTGTGCTTCCAGCGCCATGCACGAAGAAACAAGAGGCACAAAGTCAGCAAGAGGCTTTGCTATGGTGACACAAAGCATTGAAACGCTCATTAGAGGGCAGAAGGGATTTCGGCCGTGTTTTAAGCTGCACAGAAACGTCCTTGGGATGGCATCAGGGCACAGGTTCACCCCCCACCTCTGTTAGAATGTCGCCTGCTTCCCTTCTTCCACGTCTGCAGGTCAAAAGGACACAGCAACAGATACAAAATGCAAAGGGGTTATTTTATTGTTGATTCAGAGGTTAGACAAGGCACCATTTGATCTAAAAGAAATGCAAAGAACCCAATTGTTATTTGTGCAGTCGATTAAGAAAGGTTCTTTCGCATTTCTTCAGCATTTTGTGAATTCCAGCTTGGTCGAGATCACAGAAAAGCCACCTGATTGCTCTCATAGCACCACAGCCCCTCAGCTCAGCAGCAGCAGAACGTGGGGAGGTCTGTGCTGGGGTGGAGGAATGCAGCAGAACAGGAACATCAAAACTTTCAGGAAAACACCACAGCAGCCTTTTTTTTTCCTTTTTTTTTTTTTTTTCCTCCCTCCTTTTCTACTTCAGAAAAGTCTTTTGTTCATTTTGGTCCTCGCTGACAGGAAGCAGCTTTAGAAATCACAGCAAACCTTCGATAGCCTCCAGCTTCTAAGAACCAGTGAGATGAGTCCTGAAAGCCCTGGAGAAGCCTGGAATGGTACCTCGCCCTGCCTGCCAGCATCAGTGACCCGGCTCTGGTCACTGCTAGAGATGCTGCTTCGAATAGTTTTGCTTTCCTAAACACTGGTTTCTAAGCAGAAGGCCACCTGCTCTTCAGAATGATTCCGCTGAATAAGAAATACAAACAAAAAACAACCAAGCCAACCCCTAATCCCCTTGTTTACCACCTCCTTTTTCCTTCCCATCCATCCCCCCTCCCAGCTGCCCTCCCTGCCTCCCCTGCACCAGGGGGAGGCTGCAATGGCTGACGTGGCAGTGTGCAGCGTTTGGTGAGGTCTCATCTGGTTCACGGAGTCACTCAGCTGGAACAAATGGGAACAAAGAAAAAAATACATTTAGGGAAAAACCAAAATGGTTTATGGCATAAAAGGCTGTCGAGCTGGATGCAAAGCAAACACAAGGGAGAAAAAGAAGTGGAGAGTGGAAGAGCACGCTGTTCTTGCTGTGGAAACCTCAACCAGATTCAGGAATGCCAGCTGGCCAGGAACCCTGCATTATGACAGCATTAGGGGACTGTGGCTCTGGTGCTCTCGAGAAGCCAAGATAAAAGCTGCTTCCAGTCAGTTTCTTTACATCACTGAGAGGCAGAGGCAGCTCTAACACATCTTTTCTGCCTCAGAGCACAGCAGTCCTGCGCCGAGTGCTCAGCCCACCTTCCTGCACACTGAAGCCTTTTCTTGGGAGAGCACCAGTGCTGAGGTAACAGCCATCCGGGGAAACAGGCAGCTGATGAAACCAGCACCCCTGGTTACTTTCAAATCCCCTCTTTGCACACTCACGCTTTCAGGAGCAAGAAATCAACTGCTTTCAGTTTCTAGCATTATTTCCAGTTTGCTGAAAAGGAAGAGGGCCGTTTTCCTGGAAAGAACATACGAGGACAGAGTCATTTCCAGACAAAAGAGAAATTATCAGGAAACACCAAGGGATTTCAGAGGACTGAGCACCTGTTCTGACACAGCCCAGCACAGGGGAGGAGGGGGAGTCACGCCATCTTCCTTGAAAGGGAGGACTCAGGAACATGAAATCACTAACCACACACGTCAGGCCAAAGGACAAAGTTTTATCTGGGCCAGTCTGCATTGCAGTGAGAGCTTCTAGGCAGGGCTGGGTGCACGCATGGACAAAGGTTGTCACCAGCCTTGCAAGGTTGTTCGTGGTGGCGTAATGGCACCGAAATGTCCAAGCAGCAGAGCTGGACAGCCAGGACGAGCTGTTTGACTTTGCTTGAGAAACATGAGCTCACAAAAATGGTCATTGGCTGAAGGGCCATGAGGCCAGCGGTCAACAACTCTGTCCCCCGGGCTTTGAAAAAATCACGTTTTGCAGTAAGGCTTTATTTAGACATTGGGATCAGGGGAAACTCAACACACCTTCATCTCCTTGGCCAAAGCCAAGGGAAGGATGCAAGAATAGAACTGATATCCAAGTCCTTTTCTTGTCCTCCAGAAATCGAATCACTGCAGTGACTGCAGCCTGACCAGAGACTCCACGTTGTTTGTTTGTTTTTTAAAAGCCTCTCACTAATACTTGCTCATGTTGGAGTCCATGCCTCACCACCCCTGAACTGGAAAAAGTTTTGAGTCCACAAATGAGAAACTGAAAACCCCCATTGTCTTTCACCCTATTCTTATGCCACAAACAGCATCAGAACGGGGAGAAAACCACGCTCTTGGGGAACCTGCCGTCCCACAGGGTAACGTGCATTCAATGGAAACAAGTCCTCACCCAGCCCTGAGCAGCAGCAGGCCGCACGCACAGCCAAGCTCTGCCTCCCACAGCTGCTCATCCTCTGGGGAGCAGCCAGGAATAGCTGGAAGGACAGCTGCTTCTCCTGGGGAGCTGCAGCTCCACAATGAAACCAGAGCACAAGGGTGCAGAGCTGAGTTCTGACAGCTGCGCTCAGGCGCGCTGCGACCTCTAGGGGCCGAGCCGCCCGCACCTGCGGACAGACCGACGTCCAGAACACTGAGATGGAAACCGTTCAGCTCGTTTAATAGAGAATTAGCAGAGTCCTGCCTCAGGCTGCATCACCCCTCCTCATCTACTCTATTTAGCTCTTCACTCTCCCTGGCCCCGAGGAGACAGAGAGAGACAGAAAGAGAGACAGAGATGGAGAAGGACAGACAAGGGTGAGCTCCACCAGGGACGGAGCCCTAAATGAACATAACCAGATCTTTACATGTCGCTCTCGAGAAGGCTGCCAGGATGCTAGCAAACACCACATCAGGAGACTGGGAGGCATCCACCGCAGTATGGATCCCTCGCTTGCTGTAGTAGGAGACCAGGGGGGAGGTCTGTGTGTGGTAGGCCTTCAGGCGGGTTTTCAAGGCTGTTTCATTGTCATCTGAACGGCGGATCAGGGGCTCTCCAGTGACCTGGGAGAAGCAAGGGGACAATCTCCAGCCAGCTGCAGCCTGCTGCGCTCCCCCCTTCTCTGCGCAGCTGCAACCCCTGCTCCCCTGCTCCAGGCTGGGCCGCAATGCGGCGCTGCAGAGCTGAGTCCCCAGGTCAGCGTGGGAGAGCGGCGTGAACCCAAAGCAGCCAAACCAAGTCCCAGAGCCGTCACTGAAGAGAAGGATTCAGCACGATGGTCTTTCCCTCACACACCATTCTGCTTGCTAAAAGGAGCCCCAAGACCGAATGCCAGCTACAGCTGCTCCCCAGGAAGGAAAGCATTTGGGACCCACTGCAAATTCAGCTAAGGACAGAGGCCACCAAGCTGTGACGTGGCAGAGCCCGGGCTCCACAGAACAGCCACACCCTTCGCTCATCCCTCTAGGCCTTGCTCCCTGCAGTACTGTTGGCCTCGGCTGCCCAAGCAGATCCCCACGCTCCCCAGAAAGGCGGGACAGAAGGTGGGAGAAAAGGAAACAAGTTTTTTCCAGAGATGCTGCAAAGCACCAGCTAAACCCAAAGCAAGGTAAGCTGCGGCCTCGGAGCTCACATACATCGTCCTTCATGTGCTCTTTCGGGGGTCTGAACTCCTCGTGATAAGAGCGGCCACTTGCTGGGTGAATCAGCCTAAGACAGAAAGCAAGTGTCAGCAAAGGGGTCCTGTGCCAGGATGAGGTCTCCTGAACCTGCCATTCATCAGCACAGAAAAACCTGCTATTAGGAGAATGTTCTCTAGCTATTTTGGTACCAACGGCCTCTTCAAGAGCTTGGAATAAAGTTGCACTAGGAAGTGGAGGAGCACAAAGGTGATGGTGCCACAGCAAACAGCAGGAGACATCTGCATCTCTGCACAGCCATGACTGATCCTGAACAGCAGTGCCCAAACGGCCTGCATAAGGGAGAAGTAATAGCACTAGAGAAGCAGATATTAGCTGTCAGACAGCAGGCTTAAGGGCTGAGCTGGGTCACCAAGGTTGTTGATTCATATCAGCAACAGGCTGTGTTCAGATTGGCCCAGGCGTGGAAGGCTCAAACAGAGCAGATTTCTGACACAGGGCTAACTGCAGGGCTGGTCTCAGTGCTGTGACAATGACCAAAATGATCCCAAACAAGGACACTCTCCCATGAACCAGGAGCCCCCAGAGGTTTTGGGAGAGAAGAGTTACCGTCCGGTGATTCTCCGTATGAGCAAGGAGTCAGGGATGCTGAACTCAATGACGGAGTCCAGTTTCTCTCTCCTCTTCTCCAGGAGCTCATCCAGCTGCAAAAGCAAACGCCCAACTCAGAGAGGCAAACCAGGGGCTCCCCATCTCCCAGAAGAAAAGAGCTGCCCGAGCAGCAGCTCACCTACCATCTCAGCCTGCTTCACCGTGCGCGGGAAGCCGTCCAGCAGGAAGCCGTTCTTGCAGGGAGGGGTGTCGAGGTTGTTCTCAATCAGCTCCACCACCATCTCATCGCTCACCTGCAAGAGGAGAGATGGCTGCGTGGTCAGAACAGGCAGCAGGACTTACAGAGCAGCTGTACTTGTGCCAGCACCCAGCCTGCACCAGAGCCTTCCTACGGCCGATCCCAGTCCCAAAGGCAGAATCACAGGTCACTGCTGTAGCAGGGTGAAAGCTGCACGCTCCGCCATGCCCACATCTGGGGCCCCTGGTGCCAACATGAAGACCCGACGAGCCCACGAGGCATTGCACACCAGGGACACCCCAGCCTGCACAGGGACTTTTAACAGTGAAGTTACAGCTCTGGTGCAAAGGTTGTATTTCAAAATGGGCAATCAATCTTAAGACAAATTCCCTAGATCTCTCTTTTTTTCTTAAGCCAATTCTCAGTACAACCATTGATACCAACGTAACCTTTATTTCCTGTTACTTTGTTCCTTCGCTCACACATCTCTGAGCAAGCAGGCCCGGCCAGGAAGGGCAAAGCATGTGAATTGTTCATTGATGCTCGTGAACCATGTGTGAAGGTAAATGCCCAAATAGCTGCTGACACTCTGCCCCTGCTGGGCAGCTCTTCCCACATCACCACCTCAGTATATCTGGAACCAGTGCCTTCTCTATGCTGCAGCATTTCAGAAGTACTACCAGGTGCTGCAGCCCCAAGAACGGGTGTCTGTTCCAATAGCAGCTCTCCTTATCATCAGCAGTGCTGCTTCCTCCAGTACGCACAGCTGAGACCCAGCAGGACCCAGGAGCAGGCTGTCACTGCACACAAACCGGACCGTGAAGCAGTGGGTGGGGAGCAGCCTGGGTAAAGCAACACTTCTGTGCTTTCCTGATTACCCCTTTCAGGGAAGGGATGAACACATAATTGAGCATAAAAAAAGCCATCCCAGATCCAAGTGCTGCTGTGTTCCCAGCTGAGTTATCAGGCGGCCAGAGCACCCACGGGACGCAGCAGCACAGCGCCCGCACCTCACACAGGCGGCAGATACCAGCGCTCACCAGATAAGGTCCCTATCTTTCACAACCAGGCTCAGTGTTGCAATGCACGCTTTAAGCTAAAGCTGGACGTGTGCCACCTCGTTCCTGAGCCTGCAGTCTCCTCGGGGTGTTATGAGCCAGTGGCAGCAAGCCGCAATGCCCCACATCTGCCCACGCTGCTTCGCTGTGGGGCAAGGCACCGCGGTTTGCTGCCCCTCAGGTTTCCTTAAGGGACCTCAGTAATTTTGAAAGATAATTAGATCTCCAGAACAGAAATGTGCTAGAGAACCTAAGCCTGGGATGCAAGTGGCTTTTGCGCAGCATTACACTGTTACGCTGTAACTCCCACAGCAACATTCCTAAGTCCGCTTTCATGTTACAGTTACAGGCAAGCAGAAGATCTGGGTGCAGATGAAAGGAGAAAGTCGTCAGCCCTGCACTGGCCTGGAATGTGAAGTGACACTGGAACTGTGTCGTGTGCGGAAGCTCCACGACAGAAAGGAACAACTGAGGACACAGAGGCTGCTGGTAAGCAAGGAGAAGCGTGATGGAGGAGGATGCTTTTACAGGACGCTCCTCCTGCAGGGTAATAAGGAGAACGTCGCCTTCACCCTACAGTCTGCCCTTCCTGCACATACTGGGTTTTGTCACTTGGGCTTCTGACAAGGAGGTGCATTTTGGCTGCTGCTGGTACAGGATGTGTCAGTCTGTCCCCCCAGCTGCTACCCACCAGCTTCCCCGAATCCATCGTCTCTTTGAGTCGCTTGCCCAGCTCGGAGCCCGAGGCCACCATGGCCCGCAGCATGTCCCCCGTGGCCAGGTGGCAGACACAGTACGTCTCGGCCAGCTTCGGAGCCTGCAGGAAAGGACGGACGGAAGGTGAGCGCCCAGCGCGGTGATTTCAGCGGCGGCCCCGCGGCGCAGCGCCCGGCTCGGATCCGGGCAAGGAGAGGACGAGGCCGCTCCGATTTTGCTCCCACCGGGACGGGCTCCCCCAGACCCAGAATCACGCCGACCGGACATCGTCCCCACTTTCGGCAGCGGGACGGGACGGAACGCGTGGCTCCAGGAAACCCTACGGGGGCCGCGACAAAGGCCCGCACGCCCGGTGCCCCCGCGGGGCTGCCACGCACAGGCCCGTGGAGCCGGGCCCGAGGAGGCCGCGCCGCGCCCGGGCTCAGCCGGCCGCCCCCTCACCTGGGTGCCCTTTCCGGCGCCGGGCGGCCCCAGCAGCACCGCGCGGATCCCCCGGCGGATTCCCGCGCCCGGCGCCTGCCCGCTGCCGCCCCCCGCCTGCGCGCTCGGAGCCATGGCCGCCACCGACTGCGCCTGGCGGGGTCACGCGGACACGTGGTGGGCGGGGCCACGCGGGTGGTGGGCGGGGTCGCGGGGACGGTGGGCGGGGCCACGCGGCCGGGGCCGTGCGCGGGGAAGCGGGGGGCCGTTGTGCGGAGCGTGCTGGGTGCGAGCTGCCGGCGCGAGGCTTTCCTTACGCAGGGACTAAAGCAGCTCCGGGAGGAACTCGGGTGCGGCGCTGCTGGGCCACAGCCTGAGAGCTCTCCGTGACGCAGCCGGCTCGCTCGCCCCCTTTGAATTGCTTTGAATTGCTTTGCCCTGGCTCCATCTGGATCTGCTCCTGCGCTGCCCGTGTCGCGGTGTGGGCACAAAAAGCCTTCAGCGCTTGCGGGGACCCGATGCCCCACTGCAGGGAGTGTCTCTGTACGGCGCGTTTGTAGCTGCGGCTGCTCCTGGTGCCCGACTGAGGGTGGAACAGGGCAGGATGTCGCCGAAGAAGACAGCTTCCCTGCCCGGGGCTGCCAGGAGAGGCCATGACGGAGCCAGTGCTGAATACAAGAAAAAAGGCTCCGGGTCCCTTTCATCTCCTGTATGGAGGGGGGGGCAGCTGCTCCTCCGTGCTCTGAGTGTTGTCTTCTCAGTGACCAGAGAGCAGGAATTGCAAATTAACAAGAAGAAGTAGAAAAAAAATCCACTCAGCCTGTGGTGTGAGTGGGAGGGAGCCATGGAGCCATTTCCAAGTGCACGAATGCAGGCAAAGGCAGACACAGGGCATCTGCATGTTTGGCAGGGCTGGCTCTGCTGCTGGGAAACACTGGCAGCAGCACGACAGAGGGCAGAGTCAGTCCCTGACATCTCCCTGCCCGCCTCCCCTGGCCAACATCCCTACCAGGCAGGCGCTGCTCAGCTTTTATCTGCACAAAGCCTCGTTGCCCTGGAAGCGGTGCTTCAGAGGTATTTTTGGCACTCTTCCCCCCAAGGATCCCCGCGCACGCGATGCACGCGCAGCCACAAGCATCCTCAGAGCAGGGCCGGGCTGCAGGAAGGCTCACAGCTCCGTGCTGCGCGGCTGGGGATGAGCGACCAGCTACCGGGGACGCGGTGAGAACCCAGGGTGTCCGCGGGGGCAGCCCCAGCCATGGGAGCGGGGGGGGGAATGGTGCTCGCTGTGCTCCGGGAAAGGGATGAAGGATGCTCGGAGGCGGCTCAGCCAATGGGGTTGGCCGGGCTCGGTTGCCACGGCCACGGTTGTGAGGCAGAGCAGGAGAGGGTGCTGAGACTTGAAGGCTGAGGAGCTTCCCCCCCTGCAGGCTTGGCTGGCTTAGGGTGTCGGGGCAGGCGGGGCACCGGGGCAGGATGAGCCGCTGCAGCTGAGGGCAGTTTGTTCTCGCGGGAGCCTCATGGCCACAGTCTGCTGAAATGCCTCCTGGGGTGGCGGAGCTGCGGGGCTGCTGGCTTGCCTGGCGTGGGAAGGAGGGGAACAGAGGGCAATGCCTGGAGACACTGAGTTTCGAGAATGGTCTGCAATGCCTTTGGGGGGTGAAGGGTGAGGCCGGCAGAGTTGCTCTCATTTTATGAGTACAGAGCCCCTAGAGCCTCCCAGCCCTTTCCCTGTGTCTGGGCTTTGCTGCTGGTGCTTGCTCAATGTGTTACAACACACTGCTGCTCGGGGGTCAGTGTGGTTTTTCTCCTGGTGCCTATCTGAAATGCTGTAAGTAGGTCCCTGCAGAGGAGGAGGTGCTGCTCGGCTCTGAGAAATGAAATGTTTGTCTCCTGCTCACTTCTGATCAGAGGGACAATTTTCCTGTAAAAGCCCTGTGGCTAGACCTGGCTTATTGGAGTGGAAATGTTTCCTGTGAGCCTGTGTCAGGTCTGTGGCTCCCTGGGTTATGGGATGTGCTGGATCCAAGGAAAGAGGCTGCTAAAGCTGCTCCATGAATTGTGTGAGCCAGGAAACACAACCGTGCTGCCTAGCTTGTCCTCTTGTTCCACACAGTGTCATGGGAGAGAAGTGAAACTGGAAGCACAGCATGGATCCACGTCTAGGAGTGCTACATTCTTTAGAAATGCCTTGCTTTTGTTGAGGCTTGTGTGGCCAGAAGTGGGTCTGAGACTTTGGCAGTTTGAAAACCACAAGGAAACTTCTCCCCCTGAAACATACAGCAGGTCTAACTGCATGCCGAAGCACAAAAACACGCGTTCTGGGATATATAAAGCACTGGCTTCACAGTGAAGTCGGCTTTGTTGTTCGTGGCACCGGTGCCGAAGTGCTGCTGAAAAAGGCAGCTGCTGTGAACAAAAACACAGAGCTCTGCACTGCAGAGAAACGCGCCTCCTCCCCCTGGTGAGCACGTTTTAACCCCAGCGCTGCTCTGAGTGCCGCTTTGGAGGAGAACAGCAGGGGCTCCGGAGGCAGCGCTCCCCGCACACCGCGCAGGGCCGGGGGCGCTTTGGGGACCAGCCGGGACGCCGCACTGCTGGACTTTCCGGAGCTCCGCCTCTGACATTTCCTTTCTTTTTCCCAGCGTGCTGCAGATTGAGGAGCCGGAGCCGCTCGAGGAGGCTTCGCGCTGGTGTTGTCACACCTTGACCATGAACGGGTACCTGAACGAATCCAATTTCACGATGGTGGAGGAGGGCTTCACCAGCAGGGACCTCCTGGAGAGCACCCTGCTGGAGCTGTGCCAGGCGGTAAGGGCGGGCAGCTCTGCCGCGCTCTGCGTCCGTCCCCCCTTGGAGCAGGAGGTCGCAGAGCAGCCACTGCTGCTCACTTCAGCTTCGTCGTAGGGTGACCGGCAGGCCTTCTTCGTGGCAGACCTCGGGGACATCGTGAAGAAACACGTGCGCTTCCTGAAGGCCTTGCCCCGCGTCAAGCCCTACTTCCCCGTGAGGTGCAACAGCAGCGGAGCGGTGATCCGGCTGCTGGCTGAGCTGGGGGCGGGCTTTGCCTGCGCCAACAAGGTGCGGCGGGGAGCGGCTCGGGATGAGCGTTCCTCGGGCACGCGTGGGGCTTCCGCTCGCTAGCCGGCATCTGCAGCAGCAAGAGTCTCCCCCTGCTGTCAGAACCCTGCCCGCACAGCCCAGAACGCCCCGTCCTGTTGTCCGGTGATTCAGGCTCGCTCCCTTTCACCGACATTTTCTCTGTCTAACCGTTGTCCCGCCTGGCAGCCTGGGGTGCCGCTGCCGCCGCCGTCCCCTCTCAGCGGTTTTAGGAGCGAGCGCAGAGCTCCTGCTCCGTCCTGCTCGCCGTTTGCTGATGGCCAGATTCCAAGGAGAACCAAAGTTAAGCCACTTGCTGGCACGTAATTGAACAGGACATGTTGCCAGGGGGAGAAAGTGTGGGGATTCATTACAGCTCAGATCTCACTGCATTTCAAAGGGAAGATGCCAAACCTGCGCCTCCTCAGTTTTTCTGCTTGTTTTCTCTCCTCTTGGTCTTGTGCTGCATGTAAACACCTTGCCTCAACCTACCCATGTCAGGACAAAGCCCACGGTGACCCCTGTGAGCTCTGGTAGATTAGGGAAGTTATCTTGAGCAAACTCAGGCTGCGGTGCTGGCGGTTTGCCCTTTGCAGTGCTACAAGCTGGCTGGGGCCCGCAGCCAGCCACAGCCCGGCACAGCAGCGCTGTTCCCAGAGACCTGCCTCATGTGTGCTGTTTCCCTGCAGACAGAGATTGCAGAGGTTCAAAGCATCGGGGTCCCAGCTGACAAGATTTTCTACAGCAGCCCTTGCAAGCAGGTTGCCCACGTCAAATATGCAGCCAGCCACGGTGTGCAGCTGATGACCTTCGACAACGAGGTGGAGCTGGGCAAGGTGGCCAGGAGCCACCCGCAAGCTAGGTGGGTGTTGGTGCAGAATCTGGAGGCAGCATTGGACTGGGGGTCTACGGTGGGATTCGGAGAGGTGGCTGTGGGCTGGTGGAGGCCCAAAGACTCAACAGTGCTTTTTGCTGTGCAGGATGCTTTTGGGTATTGCTGCTGACCCCAGCCCTTCTGCCCATCCAAGCATGGTGTTTGGGGCCACGCTCAAGTCCTGCCGGCGCCTGCTAGAGTCAGCAAAGGAGCAAGATGTGGAGGTTGTTGGCATCAGGTAAGGCGTGTCGTCCTTGTCCCCTCGGGGTGCTGAGCCTCTGTTGGGCAGCCCTGCTGGGAGCTCTGCCCTGCTAGAACAATTCAGGAGTCCACAGAGCACTGCAGGGCGGCATGGTCTGGCAGTGAGGTGGGGGCTGGCACCTAGGGAAGATGTCCCTTGTTGGCACCAATCTGGGGCAGGTTTGGCCTGCAGAGGGGGGCTCAGTGGAGTGGGCTGGGCAGTCTCTCCCAGGAAGGTATGTGGGAAGCACAGAGCTGCTGTGGAGGGGATCTCTCAGTGCCATGTCCCCCTTCTGCCACCGTGGAATGGGCAGCCCTTCTGAACAGAGGCTGTGCCCTCAGCTTTCACCTTGGGAGCCACAGCCTGGAGCCCCAGGTTTTTGCCCAGGCTGTCGCAGAGGCACGGCTGGCATTTGATGTGGGCACAGAGCTGGGCTATCGAATGCACCTCCTGGACATCGGAGGGGGATTTCCTGGCACCGAGGACACCAGAGCCCAGTTTGAGGAGGTATGTGCCTCCCAGTGCTGGCTCTGGGCAGGCAGAGTGAGACTGGAGCTGGTTCCCTGCCCTGTGCTGAGCAGCATGACTGAGCTCACTCCAGGTGCATCTTCCCATCCAGATTGCTGCTGTGATAAACTCTGCACTGGACATGTATTTCCCGGAAGGCTGTGGGGTGGAGATTGTTGCCACACCGGGGCGATACTATGTCACCTCAGCCTTCACCTTTGCAGCCAGCATCACTGGCAAGGAAGAGGTTCCCATGGAGCAGCCAGGCTCTGATGGTAAGTGGGATTCACGGGATGGATCTGCCTCTGTGCCCATGTGCCCCCGAGCCTCTCCCTACTCCCCAGGGGAAGAGTCTGGCAGCAAGAGGAGCCTTGTCTATCACCTCAGCGATGGCATCTACGGCACCTTCAGCTGTGTCCTGTTTGACAGTCCCTGCCCCAAGCCTCTGCTGCACAAGGTGAGGATCCAGCCTGGCTGGGGAGAGCCCTGCGGAGTAGCGTGGTATGTCCTGTTGTCCTCTGCTGCTGAGTGCTCCTCCCGTGCTGTGAGATCTGCTTTGATCTGCGCAGTCCCTAAGAAGCATTTTTGGGACTGATTTGGGGCCAGATTCTTATTTTGTGTAAAACTGCTTGGTGTTGTGGTGCAGATGCTCTCTCATGTGGCCACATGATCTGTCCTCTGCAGAAGCCCTGCCAAGAGCACCCCTTGTGCAGCAGCAGCCTCAGGGGTCCCCTAGGGCAGGCGGAGGACCAGATTACCAATGATGCAGAGCTGCCTGAGCTGCAGGATGGGGACTGGCTGATTTTCCAGGACATGGGTGCCTACACCATCACAACTTCATCCCTGTGCAGTGGGTGTCCCCGGCCACACGTCACCTATGCCATGTCCCGCCTGGCCTGGTAAGAGAGAGCCCTGTGTGAGCAGGCTGAGGGCAGGACAGCCAGTTGGAGACACTGAGCTGCCCTTGATCTGGGCTCCCTGCCTGCGGGAGGGGAGCAGATCTGGGGTAACCATCCTGTGACATTTCATGAGTGGGTGCCTCCTGCTCCCTCTGGGTGTCTGTGCCTGCAGGAAGGCTCTCCAGCTCCTCCAGGGGAAGCCACCGCCAGCAGAAGATGACCATGAGAGCGCCTGCACTCCGCTCTCATGCGGCTGGGAGATGGTGGAGTCCCTCTGCGTTCCCCCGGTCTTCACCCCAGCCAGCATCATCTGAGCAGGGAAGGCCCACGCCAGCACCCTGCACCCACAGGGCTGCAGGCAGAGCTCAGCATAGCACAGTCCTGCTCCTCCTGCTTGTACGGTGTGCTCAGCGGGTTTGGGTGCTTTCGTAGGAGTTATGGTAATAAATGGGTGTTGAGCCTGGCTCAGGTTTTGCCATGAGGACCCCCCTGGCGTTCCCTCCCCTCCCTGTGCCTGAGGTGGCGGCAGATCCGGCTCAGATGAGCAGTTGGCCGCATAATGAGGCCATGCTCATTAGAGATGCCAAAGCTGTTGTCCCCAGCCTTGGAGGTGCCCTGGGGCATGGGGGGATGTGAGGACAGCAGGTGGGTTCTGGGATGTGTGCTGCTAGGGGGTGGCTGAGGCTCATTGGGAGCCTTAATGAACCCTCCTGCCCTAATGAACACCTCTGCCCCTGGTGCCACCTTGTCCCAGCTCTGCGGTAGGAGGCCATAAAAGCCAAAGATTGTAACACTGTGAGAGCCTGAAAGCCAGAGGCTGGGGACACAGGGAGCGCTGGAAGACGGTGGGGGAAAATGGGAACAGTGGGGGACACTGGAGGATAGCGGGAGCAGTGGGAGATCCTGCGAGACGTTGGAAGCACGGGAGACGCGGGGAGCACCGGAGACACCGCGGGACAATGGGACACGGGGCGCGGCAGCCCGGAGGGTGCCGCAGAGGCCTGCAGGTGGCGCTGGGGCGCGGCGGACGGTTTTCCCTCCGTGCCGGCAGGGGGCGCCGCAGCGGAGAGGGCCGCTCGCGCCGCCCGTCTCTCTGGTTCCGCCGTCAAGTGCGGCGCGGGTGTCGCGGTTGCGGCCGCGCTTGACGGCGGGCAGCGTCGCGAAAGCCCCGTGAAGGACGGCGGCGGGCCGGTCGGTGCGGGGCGGAGCGGAGCCGGTTTCGAGCTCAGGGCGGTGTCGCGGTAGGGTCAGCGTCGGGAGCGGGGTCAGCGTCGCGACAGCACCATGCCGTTCTGGGACCTGCAGCGACAGCTAGGCATCGACATGGACCGGTGGCTGCTGCGGCAGAGCGCGACGCAGCCGTACGGGGTGGCCGGGGCGTGCCACGCCTTCGAGCGGGAGTGGGTGGAGTGCGGGCACGGCCTGGGCCAGACCCGAGCCCGCCGCGAGTGCCAGCCCGAGTACGAGGACTTCATGGAGTGCATGCACCGCACCAAGCTGGTGAGCCCGGCGGGGCGTCCCGGAACCGGGCGGGGGGGGGAGGGGGAGCGCGGCACGGCGGCACGGGAAGCGCGTGCGGAGCCCCGAGGAGGCGCCGCGATCCTCTGGCTGCGATCCCGGAGGCGCCCGAGGCCGCGGTGGGCGCTGGGGGGAGGGCGGGCTGCCCGCGGCGTCTCTCAGGTCCCTTCCGACCCGACCGTTCTGCCGTTCTCTGGCTCCGCGTCTCTGTCATCCCCTGTGTGCTTCGCCAGGCTCAGCGGTTGAAAAAGATCCTGGAGCAGAGGGACAAGATGATCAAGGAGGGGAAGTACACCCCGCCCGAGCACCACAAGGGTGAGAAGGACAGCCGGCCCTGAGGCACAGGGACCTGCAGGGGACCCGACAGCACTCGTCTGCAGCCATGGAAGTGAACCATCTGAAGGAGAGCACCGGGCACGGTGGGGTTCTTCTGCAGCCATCCCAGTGCTGGGAGGGCTCTGCCAACAACTCCGAGCGGAGGAGAGCAGTGCTGGTGTGGGGCATCATTGCTTTGGCTAGTAAATGTCTCCTTTGGAGCAGCGTTCTGCTCTGTCTTGTCTTCCTTTCTGAACCAAGATAACTTCTAAACCCTCCTGAAAAGCTGCCCTGATGCTGGGGGTGACATGGAGCTGCCGGTGCTGTGCCCCCGTCTTATGGGGCCATGTGGGTTCCTTCATGCTCACACTTGCAGGCAGGGCAGCCAGCCCTGAAATGGGGGAGGGCGTAAAGGAGTAAAATCTCATCCAAATGTGTCCTGGAAAACTTGCTAAAGAAAAGCCCGTGCCTGGTGTGGTTTTATGGGCAGGAAACGTGGTTGGTGTTTGTTGGGCTGCCTGGGCCGCTTTCCAGTTGGTGGTATTGGCCCGAGAGGTGAAAATCTGGTTAAAACAGCTCTCTGATGAGGATTTGGGCAGCAGCATCCAGACGCAGTTTCTGTCCCACCCCTTCGATCTGTGCGAGATCCCCTCACGCAGAGGCTTTGCTCTGTAATGCTGTGTGTCAGCTTGATCTATCGAGCGTGCAGCGTGCCTGACTGCAGCAGCCCCGGGGCTGGGACTGCCCACACCGATGTGCTTTTCCTTTTAAAGGGAAGATTTCTCCCCAGCCCCTCCAAACTCAGCACGGTTTTGTAACAGCATTAAAGCAGTGGAGTACCTGGAAGTGGAGGGGGGAAATGGGTGTGCTTTAATCCAAGGTTTTAATCCCAGTGATTGTGGGTTTAATGCTTAATCTTTGATCCAGGTAGAGCACGTGAGGTTCCCGATCCTCACAAATCCCCACGCCGAGATGACAGATGACAGCAGCGTGGTTCCAGTTGCAGCAGGCAGGGCTGGGCTCTGCCGAGGGGCGCCGGTGCCCACGGTGCCATCCCAGGGGAGTTTGCCCCTTGTAGGACCCGTGCCAGCCCACAGAGGCTGCTCCCTTGCTCCCTTCCCCCAGCCCCAGCTGGGCCCCTTGCTGCAGCCCAGGTGTGGGGCTGTGGGGACGGGGCTCCGGGAGCTCAAAGCTGAGCCCTCCATGCTGGGAGGCTGCTCCTGTTTGGTGCACGCTGCTGTGCCTTGAGTTCTTTCCTCTTCCAGGTTATTCCAAAGAATGTATTAATCATCAATTTCAGTATTTTCCTCCTATTTCCTGCCCGTGGCCGTATTGCTGAGCCCTGGATGGATCCAGGTGTGATTCTGGAAAGGGGACTCCTGGCACTGTCTGTGCGAGCCCTGAATCAGTCCGGTGGTGCCCATGAGCTGCCAGAGGTGGGGCGGCTGCATCGCTTTCTGTAGCAGCCCCAAAGCCCTCGGAGATCCTTCAGATGTGAAAACTGTTTGGTGGTGATTAATTCCAACAGAGGAAATCTTACCTAATATTGCTGCTGTTCCACTGGATGAAAGAGTTCCAGGTATGAGAGGTGAGGGGAAGATTGGGTGCAAAAATGAGGGAAAACGCCAGAAAGATGAAAGGGTGTGAAGAAATGGGCAGAAATAGGAACAGTTTGGGGCCTGCTGGTCACTGCCCTGTGAAGTGCAGGGGTGGCCCTGAGCCGGGAGAGCTGCATTTCCAGGGAGAGAAAAAAGTGCAGAGCAGAACCCTGGCGAGTTGCTGCTGTCGGGAGTGACTCATGTAATTGAGCTGTCCAGATGTCGGAGGAAACGCTGAAATAAATCCAAACACTTCTGCCTCCCAAGCGGCTCTTTAGACCCATCCAAAATCTAATTGCTCTGCAGTAGATGTGAATGCGGCCGAGGTGCAGCAGCGGGGATGGAAAGCAGCTGAGGCACTCATTGTGGTTAACAGCCGAAAGGGAAACTTGGGCTGATAAGGAAGGTTATCAAGGAGCTGATGACAAACATTGAGTTCGTGAGAGACAAATGCGTCCCTGGAGAGGAGCGGGGATGGAGGCAGAGGGGCCGGGGTGGGGCTGAAGCCACAACTCCACGAGCCTCTCGCTGCCTCCCCAGCTGCGCTGCGCGCTGCTCCCACGCTGCACTCCTGCCGTTCTCCTCCGCTGAGGTCCCTCCCTCCCTCCTTCCCACAACCCGATGTCTGTAGGGTCTGGGGAGGAAGGGGAGACCCCGCAGCCCCCGAGTGCTGCGCACCTCCAGCTCTGTGCAGGAGAGAGAAACAGAGCCCTGGGGAGGTGAATAATTGATACGGTCAGGGAAAAGTTGGAGCTGCGGGCTTTGGCAGAGGCTCCGATGAGGGAGAGGGGGGCTGACCCCGGGCGGAGCTGCCCAGAGCTCATCTGCGCCGTGTGCCTGAGCCCCGCGGCATCGCGCACAGCAGCGGGGCGTCCGTGCACCGACCATCCACACTGCAGGGGCGGGGTGGGGTGGCTCGGGGGGATGTGTGCAGTCAGTGCTGCAGCCCCAGCCCGCAGTAACGGCTCCCCGATCCCGTGCAGCAAAACAACGCGTGGCCTTAACCCAGATTCACAGCACAAATAATCCAGATCAGCAACAACGCGCTGCGAGGGAGCCTCGGAAATGCATTTTGGGTGTGAAATGTGTGCAGGTTGGAACAGGCAGCGTTTCCTGGCCGCTTTTCTTAATTTATTTGGGATTTAATATGGTGCAAAAGCACTCGATTGCTCTGAGGCCTCCACGAGGGATGGGGCCCCAGCGGGTGGCACTGAGCAGAGGTGACAAAGGGACGCATCCCTCAGGGATCCACGGCGCTCAGCCCTGCCTGATTTCCGCCCCTCCTGCTGCTGCCGTTGGGCTCAGTGCCCCCGGCCGTGCTGGGGCCGCACTTTGGGCATCCGCTCCCCGTGGGTTTCAGCCGAGCGTCCCCCTGTGCTCCCCTTCCCGCTCTGCCTCTGAGCTGCAGGGAAACACGCGGCTCTCACGGCTGCTTCCGGAGCATCCCTTCCTTGCGGGGTGCCCGGCGTCGCCTGCCCCTCACCCGAGGTGCTCGGGAGATAACCGTGGGATGGTTTCAGATGAGATATGGGAATCCACCGGGGAGAAATGCCGCGAGCGGATGGCTGCGCCCAGACCCCGGGGCACGGGGACGATGCGTCCCGGCTGCCTGCAGCGCCCCGGGGGCAGCTGTGCCGGCCCGGGGCCTTGGCATAGAGCTTCTGTCCCCCGCACCCCGCTTGTGGCCCCGCCGTGCTCTCGGCACCGCTGCGGTTGATCGATGAGCGCTGTAATTAGCCGGTGGGGGGAAGAAAGAAAAGGGGGGGAAC